TGTTTGGGGCTGCTTATCCACCATCCGGACTATTCTGCGTTGCAATCTTTCATCAATTTTCCTCATCCGTCCACGACCAGGGAGATTAGCTACAGTGCCATGGGTTGCAAACTTCTTGATAATGTTGCGCACTGTGGACAAAGGCAAATCTAGTTCTCTGGAGATGGACTTGTAACCTTGAGATTGTTGATATTTTGCCACAATTTTGGTTCTCAGGTCCTCAGACAGTTCTCGTCTCCTCTTTCTGTTGTCCATGCTTAGTGTGGCACAGACAGACACACAATGCAAAGGTTAAGTGAACGTCTCTCCTTTTTATCTGCTTTCAGGTGTGATTTCTATATTGCCCACACCTGTTACTTGCCCCAGGTGAGTTTACAGGAGCATCACATGCTTGTAACATTCTTATTTATCCGCAGTTGTGAAAGGGTGCCAATACTTTTGTCCAGCCCATTTTTGGAGGTTTGTGTGACATTATGTCGAATTTGCTTTCTTTCCTCCCTTTTTTTGTTTTGTCCCAATACACACAAAGGGAATAAACATGTGTATAGCAAAACATGTGTTAATGCAATACGTTTCGTGAGAAATACATGATTTCCTGGAGAAATATCAAGGGTGCCAACAATTTCGGCCATGACTGTATATATATATATATATATATATATACATATATAGTTGCAAGAAAAAGTATGTGAACCCCTTGGGATTACTTGGAGTTTTGCATGAATTGGGCATAAAATGTGCTCTGAACGTCATCTAAGTCACAACGATACAAGAACACAGTCTGCTGAACATAATACTACACAAACATTAGATGTTGCCATGATTTAATTGCACATAATATGTAAATATTCACAGTACAGGGAGGAAAAAGTATGTGAACCTTTGGACTTAATAACTGGTTGACCCTCCTTTGGCAGCAATAACCTCAACCAAACGTTTCCTGTAGTTGCAGATCAGACCTGCACAACGATCTGGAGTAATTTTGGACCACTCCTCTTCACAAAACTGTTTCAATGTAGCAATATTCTTGGGATGTCTGGTGTGCATCGCTCTCTTAAGGTCATGCCACAGCATTTCAATCGGGTTGAGGTCAGGACTCTGACTGGGCCACTCCAGAAGGCGTATTCTGTGCTGTTGCAGCCATTGTTTTGTTGAATTACTTGTATGCTTTGGGTCATTGTCCTGTTGCATCACCCATCCTCTGCGGAGCTTCAGTTAGCGGACAGATGGTCGTACGTTTTCCTGCAAAATGTCTTGATAAACTCTGGAATTCATTTTCCCATCAATGACAACAATCCGTCCAGGCCCTGAGGCAGCAAATCAGCCCCAAACCATTGTGCTCCCTCCGCCATGTTTTACAGTGGGGATGAGGTTTTGATGTTGGTGCGATGTGCCTTTTTTCTCCACACATAGTGTTGTGTGTTCTTCCCAAACAACTCAATCTTGGTTTCATCTGTCCACAGTATATTTTGCCAGTAGTGCTGTGGAACATCCAGGTGCTCTTTTGCAAACTTCAAACGTGCTGCAATATTCTTTTTGGACAGCAATGGCTTCCTCCGTGGTGTCCTCCCATGTACTCCATTCTTGTTTAATGTTTTCCTTATTGTTGATGTGTCAACAAAAATGTTAGCATGTGCCAGAGATTTCTGTAGGTCTTTAGCTGGCACTCTGGGATTCTTCTTTACTTCATGCAGCATTCTGCGCTGTGCTCTTGCATTCATTTTTACAAGACGACCACGCCTAGGGAGAGTAGCAACAGTGCTAAACTTTCTCCATTCGTAGACAGTCTGTCTTACCGTGGACACATGAACATCAAGGTTTTTGGAGATACTTTTGTAACCCTTTCCAGCTTCATGCAAGTCAACAATTCTAGATCGTAGGTCTTCTGAGAGCTCTTTTCTGGGAGGCATGGTTCACATCAGACAGTGCTTCTTGAAACCAGTAAACCCAAAACAGATGTGTGTTTTTTAAGGGCAGGACAGCTGTCAGCAACACATCCAATATCATCACACTGATTGGAGTCAAGGTTGGCTCACTCCTGGCTCCAATTAGCTCTGGGAGAAGTAATTAAGCTAGGGCCTCACATACTTTTTCCTCCCTGCACTGTGAATGTTTACATGTTATGTGCAATGAAACCATGGCAACATCTAATGTTTGTGTAGTGTTATGTTCAGCAGACTGTGTTCTTCTATTGTTGTGACTTAGACGACATTCAGAGCACATTTTATGCCCAATTCATGCAAAACTCCACGTAATCCCAAGGGGTTCACATACTTTTTCTTGCAACTGTGTATATATATATATATATATATATATATATATATATATATATATATATATATATATATATATATATATATATATACACACACACACAGCGAATATTAATTTACTTAATACGGTGTATATATACAGTAAGTTCTAGGCCTCAGTGAATTTATAATCTAATGTCCCTGCCACAGGAGCACAAATACATCCAATTATCACAGGAACTGCCAAGTGTCTGTTATTTTAAACCATTTTGTTTGGTTAGTTTTAGTTAAAAACTGAATACATTTTACCAACATAAACATATTCGTTACATGCCAAGAACACAGGCTGTGTTTTGCAAAGCAGATCAAATGTTTCAACACTGCACTCTTTCAAGGAAACATAGTGATAAATGTTAGGTTTCTTACATGTACTAAAATGTATTAGACACAGTATATTACGGTGTTAATGCTTTTAATATAATGTTTAATAGCCCTTTTTTATGTTACAAGTTGTGAATATAGGTAGAAAGTTTTGCATACAAACTCAACATTTGTATTTCTAGCAGTTTTTCCATTTGTATTGTATTTTTGCCATTTGCTGTGATAACTTCGGTTGCAAGGATTATTTATTGCTGAATAGATCATGTATCTGTCACATAATATCTGGGCATGACTGTTTGGATGTGACCATTTTTTGTATCTTATGTTAAAGATGGCATTGAACCACTGCACTAAAAGTATAATGTACATGCAGGTTTTTGAGATTACAGAAGGCTCTTTTTTCACTATATTTTTTTAGCAAAAGGAGGAATGCACTTAGGTCTTAGAGAGTCATCCATATGAATCTTAGCATAATGGAGAGTCCAGAGGATTTGTCAGTGGGTGGATATTCTGAATATCCATGAACTCAGTGTATGTGCCAACCACAGCACAACCTGCTTGGAGTTTGCATGTTCTCTCTGTTCCTGTGTGTGGATTTCCTCCGGGTGCTGCAGTTTCCTTCCACACTCCAAAGATGCTATTTGCTAAATTGGCCCTAGTATGTGTATGTATGAATGTGAGATTGGACCTTAGATTATGATGTGAATGTATAATATATACATGTAAAGCAGAGGATCCTGGTAGGATTTGTATTCAGAACTAAATAATGCCACCCATACATTGGTCTGGTCTGTTTTTTCACTCAACCAGTGGGTTGAATGAAAAAAGCTGACCCGATCTCCCCATCTACATACTTGAGGTGGTTGATGAATCTTCCCCACTGCGTCTTTGTATTCTGACACAGAGACTTCTGCTCAACCACAGTGCACACACATATGAATCGAAATGCAGCTGGTTCCTGCTGATCTGGTTGAATTTCAGTCCATTTATGGGCATCTCTAGGCAACTATGCAAGTCACACCATTGAATGTTTGCTGTCTGAGCTTATTTGTTTTATAAGTAAATCATGTAATAAAAACACTTTAGTGTTTTGGGTCTGCTGGAAATGCAAGCAACTGTTTGTAAAATTGCTGCTTTTTCAAGGCACAGCCCTTGGTCACATTATCTTGCTCATGCTCATGTTGCCAGGCCAAACAAAAAATTAAAGTGGTATTAAACCCAAAAGCAAACATTTAATAAATTGCAATTTATCAGTTCCTAGAAGTGGTGGCTGCATTTGTTTTCGTTTTTGGACTTTATTTTATTTTCACTTGGCGATCTGGTCAGTAAGTCTAGAGGATTGAGAAAAATCATTTAATACTGACAGGGTTGCTTACAAGGTTCAGCTTTTATTCATTTATTTATGTAAAAATATTTATCCCAAAAGGAAGAACACTGCTGATGTAACTGCTTGAAAAGTGTTAGCTGTAGTGTGGCTTTAATTTGTTAGTGTATCTAAATTTGCTAGTACAGCCAACACTGCCCTCCTCCCAGACTGACAGTGGTGTTTCCAAAGGTGTTTGTTGCTTTTTCATCCAGATTGGGGGCACTCTACTACAGGTGGTGTGTTACTGGCCAGATTAAGGGGAAAACAGAGGAACAGAGGGCAATAGGCCTATAAGCTGCAATATATTACATTTCTGGTTTTGGGTTTCATACAACTTTGAGTTCACTAGATTTCTGTCAGGATGAACTGCATTTTCTGTATTTGCAGCATTTGAAAACGATTGACAAATGTACATGTATTGCAGAGATGTATTGAATGTTTTGGGTTTTTTTTTTATTTGGCTGAATATAAACTAACACAAACTATATTAAATATATTTTATGATCGCACTCATTTACCAATGGACCCCACTGCCATGAATTCTGTGTGCTGAGTAAGCACTTTCCTTGGCCTCCCCCTCAACCTATGGTCATAAGATTGTCTATCTAAAATCTATTACTGTGGTTAACCCCATCAGATGTTCACTCGCTGCAGGAGTCCTTTCCTCTTACTTTTTACTTTCTCTTCCATTTCTCCCCCACTGCAGTCACTCTTAATGTGAGCCTGTACTTACGGATTAGTTGTATTGAAGGGGTAAGCTCACAGGCAATCTCTACCACTAAAAATTATGTTTAGAAGTGTTTCAAGAATTTGTACTGGTGATAACTTTTAAGGGACCATAGACAAATAGAGGTAGATTTACTAAAACTGGTGTATTCAGAATCTGGTGCAGCTGTGCAGGGTAGCCAATCAGCTTCTAACTTCAGCTTCTTCAATTAAAGCGGAGTTCCACCCAAAAGGGGAAGTTCCACTTTAATGCTTTGTCCCCCGCTCCCAATTAAGGATTGGCACCTTGGGGAGCGGGTACCCGAATTTGACAGGTACTCTCTTCCACTTCTGCTTTATTCACCTAGGCGATCGGAAGTGGAAGTTGTCCCCCCCCTCCCTCCCCGTAGTCTTCTGGGACATGTGACAGGTCCCAGAAGACTACAGGGCCATTCACAAAGCGCAGCGCTTCTCACATATACACAGTGAGCACCCGGTTGTGAAGCCGAAAGCTGTCACAGCCGGGTGCCCACACTGAAGATGCCGGCGCCAGAGAGAGAAGACGGCTGTTGAAACCAGCGGTGGTGAGGACACCGCTGGACCAAGGGACAGGTGAGTGGCTGTATTTTAAAAGTCGGCAGCTACAGGTTTTTTTTTTTTTTTTCTTATAGCTGCTGACTTTTATTTTATTTTTTCATGTGGAACTCCGCTTTAAGCTTTGGCAAAAAAAAAAACCTGGAAGCTGATTGATTTCTATTCAGAGCTGCACCAGATTTTGCGCACTCCAGTTTTAGTAAATCAACCCCATAGTGTCATTGATTGTGTCTGTGATTGAGAGATCTGCCTCATGATTGTCACTTTCGCTTTGAATCTTTAATCGGATTCAGGCAACATTACATTTGTGTACACATAAAAAAGAACGAAGAAAGGCATAAAGAAGGAAACAATCCTTGGAATGATCTAAGGCATTTTCCATCATGCAAGCACTAATGAGCTCAGCTGACGTTTGTGGATGCTTGTTAATGTTCATATGTAAACTCATTCTGCTAGACTAGTATTGCAAGTAATACTTCGGTTGGTGGCATTTGCTCACTAAATTTGATCCATATAGCGTGGTCCTTAATCTCTCCTTATTACCAAGAAACAGAGATTGTTTTGTGCTTCAGCACAAATTAGAGACATTTGGGATTCCCAGATGTGGTTAAACATGTCCATGATACCAAAAGCAAAAAGCTGTTGTCACAGAGCTTTTTTTCTGAAACACAGTAGAAAGCAAAGCATGTGGACATGAGCTCTGTATTATCTCCTTTCATTTGAGTATATTTCAAAAGTCATACTCCTCTTTGGGGAAAAGAGCAGCAAACATACAAAGGCATGAACAAGGTGACAGGGCCTCTGCTGGAGTCAAATAATTTACCATTAACTGCAACCCTTCCTCCCCCTCTCCTAAGACTGATAAGACAGCTGTAAAATCTGTTCACATTCCCTCTGAAATCAATACACAACTAGACTAGTATTATGTTGGGGGCTTGTGTTTAAACAAGGTCAGCTGAAGGTTAAGGAAAAGGTCTCTCTGAATCCTTGCTGAGAACGAGACCTTCACACTGTCTTGGACCCTTATTTTCATAGTACATATTTTCTAGTCTGTAATCTACTTTTCAGAGATTGACCTGCAAATAACATTTCACGGTAAGCCCATTTTCACAGTCCTCAATGCATTGTGTCTTATTAAGTAACAGTGCGCAAAAAGAAGACAAGGGGCATAAAAGCCCATAGACACCAGTCCCAGACTGAATAGTAGGTTATTTGCAAAGTCATGTAATATCTCATCAATGCACGGTTATAAAGTTATCCACAAGGTGTTTTCCTTAAAATACATGTATGAGCAGCTGTGATATTTCCAAAAATAAACCTGTATCAATATGCAACACTTGCAATGTCTGTCTACATTAAATTGGCATTTTAGTTATGCATCGCCCCACAGAGTCCTTATTTGTGATGTAGGCGTATTGCATTAATTTATTGATCTGCATATGTGTTGCTGATATATGAATTTTGATTTTTTTTTTCTCCTGATTACTCATTTGTTAGGACCACCCTGTGGCTTTGCTTTGTGGAAGGGAAGTTAAACAGATGATATACAGCAACACAGGGCTTTAATTTTGTTCACCACTAGAAAGGTGAGAGCAAACAGTTGAGATGCAGATGCCATTCATTTTCCATCTTTTAGTCCATGTAAAACAACTTATAGTGAAGACAACCCATCCTTTTCCTTCACTGAGTTTTACCACCTAACCTGTTTCAGCTTAGATAAGCTTTCTAAGGGAGATGCAGTCATAAATAAAATAGTCGTGTCGGTGGGATCACCTGTCTGCATGATGAAACTGACACTGTACACACGCGTTTCACTTTTCCAGTGTGGATGCAATAAACAAGATTGTGCAAACTGAACTTTATGTATAAAACATAGGCTGCTGTTTTAAGAACTTACACTCTTTTCCGCAGGCACTGATTGAGCTTTGTAATACCTGATATTAGATTGAGAAGAGAGCTAAGTTTAAAGTGTTTATAAACCCACAACAGTAAAATCAGTCTGTATATGCAGTATAGCATGCTTGTTATACTCACTGTGGAACTTAAGGGGTTAATCCTCTGCACTGTGTAAAAAGGATGTTATCTGTTGTCTTCTCTGATTCTCCCCTTTTTGCACGTTCCCCATTTCATCTCCTGATCGAACACAGCCTTGGGGACACTGCACATGCTCAGTTTAGTGTGTATTGCTAGAGAGAGTTTTTTCTCTTTTTTTTGGGAGGGCACATGTGATCAGCACAGAGCCAATCAGCACTGTCAAGACAGAGGGTCAGGGGTTATACAATTTCATAGGGCAGTGAGAGGAGAATGAAAACTCCTACAAGCTTTAACCAGTACTCCTGATGAGAAAAGGTATTTAGCAGTGTATATTTACTAAAATAATTGCATTTCCATGTTGTGTGTACTGTGGGAAACCAGATATAGCGAATGCAGTGCCCTGGGTTTAGTAACACTTTAATTCCGCTCTGCAGTTAAAGACTTTATTGGGGAAAGCTGAGGTGACCATGATCCCACTAAATGCTGTTCATCTTGCTAACTGGTTATTGTATACTAAATGTTTTTTGTACTACAGAAACCGTGCACTTTCAGTCAGTCACCTTTTGGTGGAGGAGGTTTCACAGCTATGAAGCTAGTATTCTGTGTGTATTATTACATGGTAGTAGATTTCAGTTGCTGCCCCCCCAAATCACTTTTTCTGGGCCGTTCCAGTTTCCAGAATTACAGTTTCCAATCCTGTTTTAATAAGATTCAAAAATTAAATAAAATGTTGGTGAATGTTTTTTTTTTTTATAGTGTAATGTGTTAAATACTGCTTAAATTGTTGAATGTTGTCAATACTTGTGTACAAAACAACACTTTAAATTATATCAGCTTGTTTTTGGAAACTATGACTGCTCTTTTCAACCCATGCTGACAATTTTCCGGAAAGCCAGTGAAATTTTGTGTACAGTCAAAGATGGGATAGACTCTACTTCAATACACTGCATAGGAACCAAATGTATACCTGAGGAAGTAATTTATAATGTGTCCAGCCAGGATTCTAGGAATCTGACCCTTTGCAGAGGGCTGCCATAGAGACTGGGCACTGCACAGATGTGACAGAAGAAGACAACATGAACAGTTGCAACATTTTTGCTTTTGTTTTGGAGCCATGCAATTTCTAAACAAAACTATTATAAAATCTAATGTTTGGGTACAAACTTACATTTCACTGATAGTTTTCTGCATTTCCCCAGCATTTTATGTCTGTGCTAGATGATAAGTTTTGCCCATCAGGACAAACTTGGTTTTGCCAGTATTTGTGAGATTATTAATCTGGCTATCTTCCAAAAGTACTAAAAATATGAACCACGCAAAATGTCTAATTTTTTTGCTTTATGCTTCTTCCCTAATTACTACTTAATGATGATGTGTAGTCAAAATCCAAAAAATGCTCTAAGGAGTTTGCAAAATGGTTACATTATGGTGCTAGATGTGTGTTGCACACATTGATGCCTAAATTACATTTTTTCATAACTCTCAACCTCTAGCCGCTGGGCATTTTGTTTAGAATTTGTTGTACTTGCCAAAGACATATATATTTTGTGACACAGGCACGGTTGAGATAAGGAGCAGCTGAAAGATATTACAGTCTTTAGTAAACTATGCAGAGGGCAGCAGTGAGCAGGCCTAGGATCAATTTACATGCAACCCGTTCATTGTGAGTTAAGCATGTTTTAGTTCCCCCCAGAAAAATTTTAGGGCCTTGGAATTTCCTATTCACACCTGATATTACTCTGACGATGTTTATATTACCAAGTCACTAGTAAAAAAATGTTGGCTGGCGCAACCACCTACCATGGATAAACACACAGGATACCCTCAGTCCTTTCCTTCTGAAAAAGTATGCAGATAAGGACTTATTGTGATCTGCATACTTGGCCCAGGTCAGTGACTCAGAAAATGGCTAAAATTCGAAAAAGCTTACTAGTCAGGCAACTACCATTTTCCCAAAAGAGGTTAACAGCATCAACCTTCATACTTCTCATGTTTTAGGTTTACTCTTTTTATCACCAGATTTTAATAACCACCAAAGATAGCCATATACCTCCAATTGACTTCAATGCAAAAATGCCTCTCATTGACGTCAATGCAAAAAACTCCTGTCAGTAGCAGTCCTTTGTGAACACTTCTCTCCGCATGCCATTCTACTCTATCACTTGTGAGAACGATGGAACGCACCACTACCAACTAACACAGGACTTTTTGTCATAGCACTCAAAATACAATGTGTGTGGATTGCATCTGTGTGAACCACCTCAAAAGGAACACATAATATCTAGCGTGTCATGCGAATCTGTGAGTTTGAAAACGCATCCAGAATCGCATATGTGTGAATCAGGGTGGCTCCATGCACACCTGGGCATTTTGGGATTGCAGCAGAATCGCTGTGATCACAATATGCAGGTTCAGGTGCCATTATTTTCAATGGCACCTAAAACGTGGTGCAGCTCTGCCGTGAGTATCACGTGGCATATCGCATTGCGTGAAGCTGGTCACCCAAAGGTTGCCTTGCCCTGGGCACTGACAACCCACGCTGTGCTAAAAAAAAAACTCTTTAGCTGGCTCCTAGATTCAAAGCAAATTTGTTAAGCCCTGTGTTTTTTTTTTTTTTTAACCACTTGCCCTCTGCCCTATAGCAGAAGTACTACTACAGGGTGGCACGACTGCAAAATCATGTATTTGCATCTCTGGGTAGGGGCGTGCACCCTACCACGCTGTTATTGGCTGCTGGGGATGTCAATCGCCGGGTCCCCACCTGGACTGGTGATCGTCGGCAGGGCTAAGAGGGGAGAGATTTGTGTGTACACAACATAGATCTCTCTGTGTCCGCATGGACATGCCGCTTTGTACCTCTCTGATCAGCAGAGAGATTCAAAGCAGCATGTCTCCCAAGTAAAACAGCACACAATGTAAAACACACACACAGCACATAGTTAATCCTTTGATCTCCCCAGATGTTAACCCCTTTTTGCCCAGTTTCTTTAGTATGGTGTCAGTGCTTTTTATTAGCACTGATCACAGTATTGGTGTGACTGGGGATGTTAGTGGCCGTTCGTTCCCCCCAGTCTCAGAATGCCCGCTGCAGTCCCTCTATAAGTCACTGATCACCGCCATTACTAGTATGAAAATTTTTTAAATTCCAGTATATATACCGCCATTTCTAGATGCTATAAATTTCACGTAAGCCAATATACACTTATTGGGATTTTTTTTTTTTTAGCAAAGACATGTAGCAGAGTACATTTTGCCCTAAATGTATGAAGAAATTGTTTTTTTTTTTTTTTTTTTTTTTTTTTTTTTTTATTGGATGTTTATATGTTTTATAGCAAAAAGTCAAAAATTATTGTTTTTTGGTTGTTTTTCTTGAAAATTGTCGGTCTTTGTTTATAGCACAAAAAAGAAAAACGTAGAGGTGATCAAATATCACCAAAAGAAAGCTTTATTTGTTGGGGGAAAAAATGACATAAATTTAATTTATGTACAATGTTGCATGACCGTGCAATTGTCAGTGAAAGTAACGCAGCGCCGTATTGCAAAAAATGGACTGGTCAGGAAGGGGGGTAAATCCTCTGGAGGGCAAGTGGTTAAGGTAATTTATTTATTTATATTGCTATCAATGCACCACAATGCATATTTTAATGGACATGCACTTTTTTTTCAATGCAATGCTCCACAACAAACACATAATTTGCATTGGTGTATCCTGGCTGGCTAAAATGCAAGTGCAATGTGCAGCTTAGGTGCACCATTTAAAATGAATGCCACTACGACACATTGCACATAATGTCATGCATTACCATGCATTTTACGGCACTTTACTGTAAAACAGAATTCTCCCATAATATTTTAATTGCTTGATTTCAACAGCTTCGCATTTCAATACATTAATCCTGCTTTTTATTTACTTATAATAGTACAAGGACATAATGTGGTATTTCAGTCTCTTCCTAAATGTTGACTTTAACTCACTATGGCCCAGACTTCTGAAAACCACAGATGACACTGATTACTTCTGTAGAGATTGTCAATGGACTACAAGATTTTCCCTATCATTGGTTGAAAGGCTCATCCTCTGTGGCTTCTAATGCTGAGTTCTGAGAACAGACAACCTTTCTGAGACTGCTTGCTGCTGTTTTTTTTTCAGGAGCAAAGGGACATTTGGTCCTAACGAAGCATAAATACATTTCCACAAAGTATGCCTGACACAGCTGTCATACAATCATCAGCCTTTTCTGAAACTCGGAGCCATGCCGAGAACACGAGCAAATGTCCAAACTGAAATGGCAGGAGACATGGCTGACATTTTTTTATGCTTTCATTCTTTTTTCTGCTGTAACTTGGGTCATTCATCTGAAGAAAACACTGTTTGCTGGATATTACAAGCAACACTGCCTTTCAGTCTAAGTTCATGTCTATGCAATGCGGCAACATATGTGCACGTTTTTAATGCACTGTGTTGGGCAGCTCATTTATTTGAATGAGCTGTCCATTGCACAGAATTCACACAAAAGTGCATGTAAATTTTTGTAATACATTACACAAAAATACATGGTAATAAGTTACCTTGCCTTGCAAATGCATTAGCAAGGTGTGCTGGGGTGCCTTTAGCAACGAATGGCACTGAAACCCACTTTAAATAAAAACACACAAACCGTTCCCTGCGGCACACGCAAGTAAACGAGGACTAAAAGTCTATATTTAGAGCATAATGAGGCTTATGTATGAAAAGCTTGCCAAAGAAAAAATGTTGCTGCCCATAGCAACCAGATTCAATCTGTAATTTTGCCATTCCAATTTAAAATTTAAATAGCAATTTGGACTGATGTAGGCTACAGGAAATTTTAGCACATTTTCCACAGATCGGGGCTGATATGGGTACAAGATCCAGAATTTCATTGTAAAATTTAACTGGCATGACGAAGAAGCCACCCATAAAAAAACAAGCAAATCACGCATTTTGATTCTCCTGTTTTTCAGGAAACGTAGTAAAACTGAGATGCTATACAGCTAGATTTAAATTCACTGTAATGTTTTAGGTTATTTTGTAGGATCACTTTCTTGCTGGTTTTATATATAGTATAGTGTGTAGTTAAAGTATCTGTAATTTGATCTTCTGCACATGCAGCCTAGATGATTTGCTTAGTTGAAAATCTGGAAGTAGTAGGGGTCTACAGGGGGGACAGAAGTGTCTTACATCTTACCAATAACTTTTGACTTTAAAAGATGCCCTTCTTTCCCATTTAAGGAAGCATGCCCAGAGTATAGCTTTGTCCGAAATGGTTAATGCGTGCAGTGCTGCTGTCAGTTCAAGGATAGTGCAGTGGTTTTGTCTCTGCCTCCCTGGTTACTGGATGGCCAGGCCAGGGTGGAACCCAAATAGAGCCAGTTATTTTCCATCTTTAAAGCTCAGCAGTGTCTAAAATTCAGTGTCCTAGCTTCAACTTCCTCCTGTGTAACTGCTGCAGTGTGCTCTTTGGCTTCCCCTCCCTTCTCTGCACAAATGGATCCTGTAAGCCTTAGATTTGCACACGGCTAAATACTTCAGCCAAGCGGCTACATCCGGATGCAGTGTGATTTAATGAAAAAGGCATCGCTTGAGAGGCTGTGCTCATGGTTGTCAGCCAAAAGTCAATTTACTGAGTCAGTAAAAAATTAGGTAAACTGTTTAGCCATCAGGAACCAGAAGTAAAAAAGCCATATCAATATTTCACACCACAGCATATTAGTGATGATTATGAATGGCAAAATTCATAAATAAATTTTTTTTTCCTATATTCATCCTCATGTTCATTTATAGGGAAGTTCTATTACAGTAATATAAATTGTATGTAAAAGAGTATCGCTCGTCTGTAAACTGTTTTTGTTTTGGGGTTTTTTTGTAGTGATATTTTAGATAGTTGGTGTCTGCTTTTGTTACTTTGCTCTGCTTGACCACAGATGATACACAAATGACGTCACTTTTCGTGCAAAATCTATCCTTAGGAGCTGCTAAGAGTCCATCCTGGACCGGCGGCAGAGCCGTATGCCTGATGTCACCAAAGGACTGGTTGTCGGCATTTTGCTCAAGCTCTCCCATTCACTATGAGGTTAAACATCTTTTAAGGGGGACATTGCTACGGTTTGGGCTATGATTACAAAAGGAGTCATTTGTGAAAATTGGCGGCAAAGAATATGCAACATTGATGTTGATGGAGCTCAGAAAATCTGTCAGATTCCTTTTCATCAGAAAGAAGAAACCTGACCACACTGAACGCCTCACCTGATTCATAAATTCACAGCAATACACATTCTCCTGTGGTGATCACATGGCAAAAATGGTTTTTAATTAGTTTTGGATGAATCCGAGAAGGCTTGGATATTTCTATTGCTGGTTATGTTCCCGCTGGAGAGATTCACCCCATTTCTCCCAGAGACCTTTGTCCTCCAATAAAGACACCTGTTTTAGTGAGAACTATCTAAAGATTGTTTCACACCCACACATTTTTGTATATTGCAGATGTGGTGCATTGTAGGCCCACTGTGTCTACAATGTGTTTTTCTTGTATTTTTACCGGGACACTGCTAAAAATATGTTGAGCACATGCAGGTGTAAACAGGACTTAAAGCGGAGCTCCACCCCAAAGGGTAAGTTCTCTTTTAAGAACTGCTCCCCATTAAGGATTGGCACCTTTGGGGGGTGGGGGGGGGAGTACCCGAATTTGCCAAGTACCCACTCCCACTTCCGATCGCCTAGGCGACCAGAAGCGGAATGTGTCCTCTCTCCCTCCCTGTAGTCTTTTGGGACATGTGACAGGTCCCAGATGACTACAGGACCATTCATGAAGCGCAGCGCTACTCGCGCATGCGCAGTGGGTACCCGGCTGTGAAGCCGCAAGCTGTCACAGCCGGGTGCCCACACTGAAGATGCCGGCCTCCTGGAATACAGGACAGCCGGTGAAACAGACTGCGGGGTACACACTGCAGGACCGAGGGACAGGTAAGTGGCTGTTTTTTAAAAGTCAGCAGCTACAGTTTTTGTAGCTGCTGACTTTTATTTTTTGACAGGGTGAGTGGAACGCCGCTTTTAAGAAGAGATTTCCCCTCACTACTTGTACAGGAAAGGATGAGAAGGAAAATAGTTTTATTGGGACACAGCAAAAAAGAAAACTAACATTTTTTTTTTAACAACTTTTTATTTGAAACTCAATGGCTACGTGTAACCAAAATTACAAACCTAGAAATCAGCACAAGGGGCATTACTTAGTAGGATGTGTCCCTTGTGTTGATTCTTGTTTCAGGAGAAATTTTGCTCTGGTCTTAACCCCACTACCGTAATCTTAAGATGTGGCAGGGGTTATTACAGCTAAGAGACTGTCAGGAGTTCTCATCAAGTGAGCTTGACTGTGCCCACCTTTTCCTGCCTGATCTTCCATTCATAGAAACCATACTATAGCTTCTATGAAATGATATAGGATCCCTGAATGAGGGACAGGCAGATGATTGATAGCAAAGGTCTTGGAAGGCTGCAAGGATCACTCCTCACTAGCAACAGCTACTACAATGATTCTCCACTTTTACAGGGATTGGCCAGGTATAAAGTATGTATACCCACATTGGTCCAAGCTGGACCAAAGTAGCTATCGAACAAATCATACCCGAGTTTCAGCATTAACATTTCCCTGAAGTGATTTTGTACTCACCGTTTTTTATTTGTGTTATTTCCTGTGCAGATTTGGCCATCGCTGAATGTAATGAGTATTTACTCCTTTGAATACTGTTGGGATTAGTTAAATTAGATTTACAGAGAGAATGTTAATGTTTTTCAGATAAGTCCTGTAGACTTAAATCAATTGATTCCCCCTTCCACCATGACTGGATTCTCCAATCCAACACCTGCAGCTGCCTGAATATAATGGCACTGCAGAACAGTAACTGCACCTCATAGGATGCAGTCACTGTTCGACCATTGATTTTACATCTAGCTCAGTTGGTTTTGAAATTGACTTTTGTCAATCCAGTTGGTGTTTGTGGGGCCATTCGCAGCTCGAATTTTGGCAGATAACTGCTGAATCAGATGAAACGTGAGCTGTCTATGGGGGACTTAATGCTGAGAGAGGGGAGCGGTAAACACAGTCACTGTTTGGCACCACTAAACCGCACAACATTTATGGCTACCCCATACATGGTTTATAAAGCCTACAAAACATGTTAATAAGCTACACAAAGCTGACAACATTCACATATACTGTATATATAAGTTAAAATAATAAAAAAGCTGTAGAATGGATATAGTATATGTATGTATATGTGTGTGTGTATGACGTGAAAATTTCACCACATGTCAGTAACAACTCATGCAATCCATACATACAAAGAAAACAAAACAAGTAGGTTCAGAAATTAATTTATGTGTAATAAAATGGAATGACGGGAAACATATTGAACACATGAGGAAAGGGAGGTGCAAAAAGGCACGGAAAGCCAAGACTCCGGCTAAAATGTATCAGTAATTGGCAATCCTGCCCCTTGGCAGTGCAAATTAATATCGGCTTGCTCAGTGTCAGTTGATGGCCTATAAAAGGTGTCACACAAGAAACATCTCATATTTGGTAAAAGCAAAGCGCTCTCTGAAGACCTTTTGCAACCTTATTGTTGCAAAACATACTGATGGCATTAGTTACAGAAGGATTTCTAAGCTCCTGAATGTTCCAGGGAGATTGTTGGGACCATAATCCAGAAGTGGAAAGAACATAATTTCACCATAAACCAGCCACAACCAGGTGCTCCTCACAAGATTTCTGACAGAGGAGTGAAAAGAATTATCAGCAGAGTTGTCCAAGAGCCAAGGACCACTTGTGGAGAGCTTCAGAAAGACCTGAATACACTCAACTGCCATGGCCTGTGTGCACATTCACCACGTAAGACTCCTTTGCTGAAGAAAAAGCATGTTGAAGCTTGTTTAAAGTTTGCTGCACAACATTTAGACAAGCTGGTAAAATACTGGGAGAATATAGTCTGGTCAGATGGAACCAAAATTGAACTCTTTGGATGCCATAATACACACCACGTCTGGAGGTTAAATGGCACTGCACATCACCCTAACACCACCGTACCGTGAGGTTTGAAGGTGGCAACATCATGGTGTGGAGCTGTTTTTCAGCATACGGTATTGGCAAACTTCTTGTCTTTGAAGGAGGGATGAATGGAAAAATGTACCAACATTTTTTTTTTTTTTAATTCTTTTTATGTATATTTCAACATATAAAAATACAACTGCCACAGCCAGCAAAAACACAATACAAAAATATCCCACCCCCGTTCCCAACAATAGTGCAATGCCTTATTATAAACAGAGACAAAGTGAAAGTGCCACAGTCGTACACAATGTAAACTGTACATATGTGTCTACCAGACCACAAGCAGGGTAATATTATACAATCCATGAATATGAGCTAATTTTCAACCAAATTCAAGAACCTATATAATCGCAGATGCAACTGTACGCCCTCCCAGAAATCAGGCTAGAGTAGAGGAGGCCGAAACCCAACTATGCCAGACCTTATCAAACTTTATGGGTGAACCTCTGTTCAAGTAGGGCACCTTATATAATGGTAGCATCTTATTAATCAAGGATATCCAAAATGAGGTAGTGGAAGTTGCAGGCTTCTTCCAATGGAGCACAATAGCCTTATGAACATAGAACAGGGTCATGGAGAGGAGGGTTTGCTGTGCACATAAAGGCACCAACCCCTCCACCAAACCAAGAAGACACACCGATATAGTCTGTGGAATTTGCGAGGTTATGATATTAACCAGAGACCGAATCACCTCACTCCAAAAAACTTGAATCTGCGGACAGGACCAAAAAATATGATCAAAGTCCGCTAAGAAAGATGTGCAGTGCCATTGTTCGGACGAAGCTGGAGCATACATACGTGCCAGGCTAGCAGGCACGTAATATAATCTATGCACCAATTTAAATTGTATGAGACAATCCCTGGCCGATACCAAGTTGCTGAAAGGATAATCCCACATATCATCCCCGTCATCTCCCTGCAAATCTGGGACCACAGAGGTCCACTGCATCCGACAGTTCTCAAGACTTAGGTCTGGTGACAAAGAGCTCTTTATACACCTGAGACCAGAGCTTCTTAAGAGTATCAGAGCTAAGCAGCTGCTCCAGCTCCGAGGATTTGGCGACCAAAGTAGTTACCCCCAAACTGAACTACAAAAGCATGACGGAGTTGAAGGTATCTAGAAAAAAAAAATACCAATTGGAGAGGTGAAACCTGAGTTTAAGTCCATCAAAGGGAAGAAGCCTATCGGTCTCCAGTATATCTCCCAGCCACTTAATCCCCCTAGTAGACCAAACTGCAGGATCAGGAACAGTAATGAAGTTCGGCAGAGGGGGGAGGTAGGCAGAGTGGGGAGGTAGGAGAGCACGCCGTCCCTTCTGGTTGAAGAATATGATTAACGCATGGTGAATTTTATATTGCCTGTTATGGGGGCCAAAACCTGGGAAGCTCTAAAGAGCAAATTATATAGCCCCTCGTATGAACCTATTAATGCCGCCTCTAGGACAGTAGCTGCATCCTACCTATCCCTCAGAAGCCAACGACGCACAAAAATCTGACCAGCCAGAAAATACTTATAGAAGTCAGGTAATGCAAGTCCACCCTATATCAGAGGCTTCTGGAGTGCCCGGATCACCAACCTTGGATGAGAAGAAGACCATATAAATGTACTGAAAAGACCTTCAATCTTCCTAAAGTAGGAGCGAGGGACTCAAACTGAAGCATTTATGTAAAAAATAAAGGAAAACAGGTAACATTTTCATTTTAAGCAGATTGATCCTGCCAATAAACGACAGGGGCAGATGTTTCCAAGCCTCTAGCCTCCTCCTCACTATTGCAATTAAGGGCAGCAGATTAAGTTAAAAAAAATCACTCACCTTTTGAGGAAATAAGTATTCCAAGGTAAGTGATCTTAGACACCCAGGGAATAGGAATCCGAGAGTCCATCCCAGCTCTGGCAGCATCGTTCAAGGGCAGCACACTAGACTTTAGTCAGTTGACTTTAAGACTAGAATATGTGCTAAAGGTATTCAGAATCCTGAAGACAGCTTGCAAGGAGGGCCCAGGGTCATTTAAAAAGAGTAAGAGATCATCTGCATATAAGGCCGTACACTCCTGAATACCCCCCACTTCCAGTGCATTCATTTCCGAAGATGTCCGCAAGGCAATAACTATTGGCTCGATCATGAGTGCATAAAGGAATGGGCACAGCGGACATCCCTGCCTAGTGCCCCTATTCACAAGAAAAAAAGGGGAAATCCCATTACCACTCTTAAGTGCAGGTGTGGAATTTCTATAGAACAGGGAAATCCACGTGAGGATTTTAGGCCCAATATCCATATGGCTTAGGCCAGAAAGCATGTATTACCAATCAACAAAATCAAAGGCCTTCTCCATATCCAATGACACACCACCACCCTGGCACCTTGATTAGCATGGTCAGTCTGCAAATGTGTAAATAACCTTCTCAGATTGGTATCTGTGGATTTAGTAGGAATATATCCAGTTTGATCTATATCCACCAAATCAGTTATGACCCAAGAAAGCCTTGTGGATAATATCTTGGTCAATATTTTAAGATCCATATTAAGCAGAGCAATAGATCTATTTAAGGAGCATTCCATAGGATCTTTACCCTGTTTAGGCAAGAGAACCACAAGAGCCTCAGACATGGAGGCAGGCAAAACAGAGTGATCCAGACAATCGTACAAGGCGTGTAACCGAGGTCCCATCCGCCCAATATGAGGTGGGAAGGACCGGATAACCATTTCAATCTCCTCCAATGTAATGTCCCCATCCAGGAGCTCAGCCGTATCAGCCTTCAAGGTGGGGATAGGCAAATCTTTAAAAAAAAATCTTTCAGAATCATATGCCAGAATGGGGGCATATAATGTGCTATAGTATTTAA